CTTACCACAAGATGCTGTCCAATTCCTGCCACATGCCTGTAGGTGGACAGTGAGAAGGAAACCGTGGGGATTCGTGACACGTGCAGTGGAATGTAGTCTTGTTGTGACGTGTGTCTGGTAGCAGTGAAACCACACCAGCTGCGTCCACAAATCAATCTGGCTGTTGTAACCATGTGACCTAATCAAACTGACGTTCGTGTGTGTGCATGAATTCAGTTTGGCAATTAACACTCACGCTTAATCACACTTCACACTAAATAGAATTTTTCGCAGATACTCAGCGATCACGCGTGAGTGAAGCCTGTTGCGTGATCTCTCATTGCATTGATAACTGTTATCTGTCTTCAGTCATCGAATCACTCATGATCACTTACATACATGCATGAATGGCTCGACGCTTTTGCCATCCTGCTTGCCTTCTCTCCTCTCTCCTTTCCTGCTTACGGATTGGTAACATTCACGAACGACCAGCTCCAACGAGGACCATCGTCGACACCTCCATCTCGTTCTTGAACAATGTGACGGGTCACCTTCCCGACTACTTCAGCACATGCGCCAGCTGACTTGAGCAAGCAACGTAGGTGACTGTGTTTTACGCCAGTTGTAGTCTAAATATCACCTGATAACTCATTATGTGATGGTATCTGCAATATGGCGACTTGACACCTGTGTGTGTAAATGCCCAAGGAGCCACATTCATGCTTTCGAGTCATCCAATTTGCCATCGGCATACAAGGGGGCCATCAGTTAGGGCGACGACTGGCCTGGGCACGTAATCTAGTCGCCTATTTTGTGTACCTAACACCGTACACGGTCTAGAAGTTTTGATTGACACTGGTGCCGAAGTTGGCGTAATACCGTCAACACCTCACAAACGTCAAATCAAAGACTTGATCGTCAACTTCGGGTCACTAACAACTTGCTCATTGCGACATATGTTCCAAAGCTGCATTATTTCTATCTACACCTAAGGTAGCAATCTTACTTTATTTCTACAGGTGCTAATATATTCAACGGCATATACTTGCTGCCGATTTCCTTTCCATGTCGATTTACTGATTGATGTGACAAAAGGCAAGCTCACTGACTCAAATGCAGCACTACCCGTATGCGATGCGCCTGCTTCAATACATTTGGTTGGACTCCAAATGTCAATGCCCGAATTTAACAGGTTTGAACAACTATTAAAGTATTTCTCTGAAATGATCAAAGTGATCTATAGCACTACAAGCCTACTTATAAAGTCAGTTAATTTATCGTGAAATGAGGTCAGCCAACATGCACTGATACACTCAGACCAACCGAGGAAAAGTTTGAGCAGTCTTGGCATAATTCGTTCTATCCACAGGCCATCAGTGACCCCTTTACACAAGGCACCTAGGAAACCAGATCACTGGAGACGCCGCGCTGAATACTAAACTGTGAATATTGCCACAGTTTCTGGCTGGTACGGTATTCCTCGTATCCACGAGGTTTCCATGTTAAAGTGTTGCAGTGTTAAAGTTCATTGCGTATTTGGTTCACCCTTAGATGCCTGTGCCCTGGACGACCTTCCCAAAAATCTTGTTAATCCTTCTTTGGGCTATTCGATTTGTAGAGCCTCATTGGCCAGTTTCTGTGTGGTCCTGACTCTGCCATTGTCTGTATTAATGAATTGTATTGTCTTGAAGAACCAATGAAGAAAGGCGACGAGAATTATGAGATGCAGATAATGTGCAGTTCAAGTAATAACTTGATTCCTTTTTTTTGCTAGAACTTCATTTCACTCTACATCTCCATGTATCAGGCTAGTTTCATTGCGCGCTTTTTGCTGTTTTATCTCTGACACCTTGGGACGACGCCAAACCTGAGCAATCACTATTCAAGCGATTTTTAGGAATTTACTTCATGAAACTCTGTCCGCTCAAGGATTGATGTTTGGCGACTTTTGCCACATCTATCAGTAGATCGACATGGAAGCGAAATCAACACCAAGTATTTGCCGGTGAATGTTAACCCCTGTAGAAATTAAATGACATTGCTTGAAGCCATAGGTTGGCTGCATGGAAACTTACAAACACATGTCTTGTCGCCATAGAGACGATGATACCAACCTGCATCAGTGCGCTTCTTGGCCTGACTTGGTTGGCTGTAAAGTGAAGCTGGGTTTGTGCAAGATGTTGCTGTATAAAAAATAAATCCTCTATTCTCAGTGCGACGGTGGGTACATTTTCGTGCAACCAACTTAAACACGAGTTGTTCGTGTTTGTTATAACACCTGAGTAGGTGCTTTCATTTCCCAATAAATGAAGAATCACTTTTGGGTTTGTTTGCCTTTTCAGCAAGTTTCTCCAACGACATGACTGATCTCTTGGTCAACGTTGATGCATTCGTGCGTGTAGAATTTAATTTTGCCCATGATTGTAACCGAATTGAGCTATCAAGCGTGTCATTTGAGCTGGTCGTTCATGCAAGATCAGTTGCTTTCAAATTGTCATAGATTAACACAGCTGCCACTGTTGAAGTAAGTCAGCATCAACATCTGTGGGCAATCACGTGCAACAACAAATGAGTGCTTGGCGAAATTAGCAGGCAATTATCTGATTGCAAGTGCATGCACTCACCTGAACGTCAGTTTGATTAGGATGAATGGCAAGTCCCCACAATTTCCTTCTCACTGTCCATTTACAGGCCTGTTGGAGGAATTGGAAAACATCTTGTGGTGGGTGCCCGGTGCCTTAAAAAGAGATCGCGCTCACTGCCTCAGTCTGAGTCAGAGACATTGTGGTGGTTCAGAATTCGCATTTGCCAATCAGTCAATGACTGAGCGTCACATCTGATTGGTTGGAGTTTAGCGCCGCACATTCAGGCACCACTCACTGGCTCTCGTGATTGCACATTCAAGCTGCAACACGCAGCGTATTTTCTCTCTTTTCAAAGGCAAACGCAATGGAACTGGACCCAACTGTGCTTGAAATTCTTGATTATCCACTTTTTCTACACAGAAAACCACCACACTGAAAATTCCCGTCCTCCCAGACAACGCCAAGTTGACACTGGACCACGTCAAATGCATCTTGCTGGATGTCCTCATCGACAATCATGCGGACGTTTTCAGAGCGGCCTCTGTGCTGACGGTACCGTTGTTCGGCGATGAGTTCAGCAAAGTCGAGCCATTTGAGTACGTTGTCACAGAGCCACCAGAATTGCAGAAGCCTGGAGCCAGACTCATGGCAGGCCTGCAATGCAATGAGTGCATTGAGTTGAATGACTTGTACTCTGAGTGGGGAGATGAACGAGTGCAAGCTCGGATCATTGCAAATGCCGCTTTGGTGGCTGTGCTCACGAGCCCACTTGCCGTATCGGCGTCTTCATCAAAATTTCTCTCCTGGACTCTTCAGAACTGGCCAATATCACTGTTCGTCCAGTGCACAGCTTTTAGGCCTGTTGATGGAGAGTTGCTGAAATTGATGTGGACGAAAATAAGGCGATTTTATGTTCGGTGGGAACTTGGAAAGGAGATTTTGCGAGTGATTGCGCTAAGATGCGCATGTTATTTCCACGGAGGTGATCTCCACCCACACGACCCCGTCAAGGACGAGGCATTTCGTCACATGGGTATTGGAGTGGCCTTTGCTCAGTTCAGCGCTTACAAAATGTTGATGGATTACTTGAAGAAGAAGGGCAAAACGCTTTTGGACTTGCTCAAGTTGATTCCTGCTAACTTTATTGTCAAATTCAAAGCAGCAGTTGAACATCGACGCAGTGATCTGGAGGCGTCGCCTTGCTGGTATTATTACTGCCACGCACTCAGTCCTGATTTCTATCATGAATACGCTGTCGAAGGATATCAATGCTTCAGTAGAAGATGTTGCCGGTGTTCAAATGTGGGATAAGTACAAGAAGTTATTGCGTAAGTTTGCGAAATTCGTCGTTACGGAATGGCAAGAGGCGACACCTGTGTGTACTGAGAGGCAATCCAGTGTTCGGGGATCGACATCTGCCTGAAGACGTCGCGGCCAACCAACAAGGCGCACACCCAAATCGTCCATGGAGCATACACCGCAGCGGCAGCCTTTCTGGATGTCAATGCCTCCTCAAAGAGACCGTTATCTTGATTTATTTCAAATCCAGTCATATTCCATTTTGAAAGTCCGAAATTTGTAAAACATTAAAAGCTTTTCCAACTTGATGTACATGTGGTGCTATTTAGCATAAGCCGTAGTGTGTGGTTGGGGAGGGCCGTGGTTGTTTGTCAAGAACTTGCTTTAGTAACCGTTAGTAAGTGGTGGTTTAAAAACGGGCACTGTGCCATCGCGCCAAGGTGTAAATTCCAACAGACTAACCACCAATCCATGTGATATAATCTATTTCGATTAATGGTACACCCTGCACCATGCAGTCTCGCGCACAGTTAGATTGCGTCAGTGAATCTAATTGGTTAACCAGCATGTGATGTTAGTGAAACTGTAGTAGTAGCTAAAATGAACTGAGACACTAATTGGTGCGGCTTGTTGATCCACCACAGGACCACTTACCGCTTTTTAATCCTTAGAAACATTCTCGCCTTGACGGAAACGCACATTATTTCACTTACTGCGTGGGCCCTGGGCGTAACTCACCGCAGAGATGCGTGCATTTCACCTAACCCGTCTGCAGCATTTCTAACCATGCTTCTGTTCCTTTCGAAACCACCTCCACGTGACGGCAGTCAATTAATTTAAGTTGAAACAAAATTTTACACTCTGTATTTGTATTTTAGACCGCACGTGTTTGGTTGCTCATCCAATTAGAACAAATATGGCACACTTGCCAAATGAACGAAATTGACGAAAAGTATAATTAAGGGCAGGTGAGAATGTCCGCTAGATGTAGCTGTGATAGTGGATAAGTTGGCTAGACAAATCCCATCAGCCAAACTCTGTCTCGAACGAAATGTCAACGCTCACCTAACTGGTTGCCAATTGTTTAAATTATATTTTTGAAGTGCACTGTGGAGTAGTACTTGATGATGCTTGTTGAGGTGACACTTTCACACTCATAAATTACGACTTGTGTGTGAAATGGAATGTTTGAGATTAAGGTGGTATTACGGTTTCAGAGTAATTGATAAGCAACAGTGACGTTTAGTAGGCCTGTACGCTTTCATTCGCACTAGATTACATTTTCATTGTTGCATGGACCACAGTGCATAGTAACTGGGTATTTTCAAAGTAATGCTGAATGGGGTCATTGTTAATCTGTAGCGGCGTTGGGATCTAGGAAACGGCGTACGTTATTAGCAATAGCAAACTGGAGATTCATACTTCCTGAGGGTTGATTAGACACCTGTTCTTGATTTCGACGCGTAGAACAAAGTTAGTAAGGAAGTCAGCACCAATGAGAGAGTGAGTCACGGTTGTGATAATTTAAATCCAACGAGACTGTTTTCGACGTCCAACGTCGTGCGTAAGGGATTGCTCTTCGCACTAAAAAACATGAACCACAGCACGGTACAAGTTAATGCCATGTGTAGCGCAATTATGGCCTTCCTTGTTCACCTGATTCCGTGCTTTGTTGAGCGGTCCTTCAACTCTGAGTCATCGAGGCTACACGGTGTCAATGCTATTGTAGCATAATAGTGGTGCTAAGGTAAGTGCGTTCTGTTTCAACGTCCTATTAACACACTTAATGTTCTTTGATATTGAGTGGATCTGTACTGGCAGATACGTGAGATGTGACAAATGGCCAAACAATAAGGACATATATTCCTAGATTAAATTCAGAATATGTGGCTAAACTTCCGTGGCAAATAAATCATGTGTATAGGACCTAGGCACAAATACGTCCATACCTGTTTTATTCACAAATACAGGTGTCTGGTAGTTGTGAAACCATTCCTACCAGACACACGTCACAACACGGTTACATTGCACTGCATGTGTAACAAGTCCCCACAGTTTCCTTTTCACTGTCCATTTACAGGCCTGTGGGGGGAATTGGAAAACGTCTTGTTGTGGATGCCTGGTGCCACAAACAGATTTCGCGCTCAAAGGCTCAGTCTGAGTCAGAGAGAACGTGGTGGTCCAGAATTCGCATCTGCCAATCAGCCAATGAATGAGCATCACATCTGATAGGTCAGAATTAGGCGCCACACATCCACGCACCACTCATTGGCTGTCGTGACTGTGGGTTCGAGCTATAACATGCAGTGCATTCGCTCCATTGCATAAAATAACTCTATATCGGCGAAAGCAAACGCGACGGCACGAGATATTATTGAGTTTAAAATTGATGATATTACCTTACATATTCCCAAAAGTGAAGGACCATACATCTTACCTGCTCTTTCCAAATTGAACATGCCCGAGGCGAAGAATATTTACCTTCCTTTAGAGGTCAAGCAAAAGGTGTGGTTTTGTGCAAAACTCATCGTCACGCACTGGCAAAATGAGAAAACTAAGCATTATGAGAGGCATTCCAGTGTTCAGGAATCGACATCCGCCCGGAGACGTCGCAACCGACAGACAAGGCACGCAACCAATGCGCCCGCGAAGCCTGCACCCTAGCTGCAGCTTATCTGGCTGTCACTGCCTCCTCAAAGAGACTGTTGTCTTGCTTTATTGTAAGTCCAGTCATATTCCGATTTGACGGTAAAAGATTACAAACATCATTGACTTTTCCAACGTGATTTAGATGTGTTGTTACATAGCAAAATCCGTGGTGTGTGGCAGGGGAAAGCTGTGATTGTTTGTCAAGAATTAACTTCTGAAACAACTAGTAAGAAGTGATTTCACAAGTGGGACTGCGTCATCGCTCCAAGATGTAACTTCTAGCAGACTAACCACCAATTCATGTGATCTAATCTATTTCGATTGATGGTGCACCCTCCACTATGCATTCTCGCGCACATTTAGATTGCGTCGGAGAAGCTAATTGGTCAACCAGTGCGAGAGGTTGGTGAAATTGCCATAATAGTTCAAATGAACTGAGCTACAACTTACTGCGTCTCGTTGAGTCATCACAGAACCACGTAACTCTCTTTACACTTTAGTAACAATCTCATTTTTCTGTACAAGCCCTAGTCATTAATCTCCACAAAGATGCGTGCATGTTGAATTAATCATCTGCAGCATCTCCAACCATATTCCTATTTCTTTTGAAACCAGCTACATTTGATGGCTGGCAAACGATTTTAGGTGAAACACAATCATGAGCTCCGTGGATGTTGTTTTGATCAAACGTGATTGGCTATGCCTCTGATTAGAATAAAAAATGACGGGCAGTGAAATTCAAGTTACTGTCTAGCAAGTGTGGGACAGTCTGGCATTATCCAACGAAATCTGTAGAATTGGTGGTCTTTTATCACTAACCATGTGGACATTGAGAATACACTATTTGCCAAAACTCCAATAACGTGCATGTATCGTTCAAAGCAAGCTAGACGTAGCGTCTGTCAAATGTTTTGAATGGGAATGCCAGTTAGATCTAGCGGTAATTTTGGCCCAGTTGGCTAGACAACTCCCATCAGCCACATTCGTCTTCTTCTTCTTCTTCTTCTTCCTGGAAAGAAGTGTTAAGGCAGACCTCAGCGGTTGCCAAGTGTTTAAATCACATGTTTGTAGTGCACCGTGGAGTAGCACTTAATGCTGCTTGTTGAGTTAACATTTTCACACTCATAAATCACAACTTGTGTGTGAAATGGAATGTTAGAGGTTAGGGTGGTATTACGATTTCAGAGTAATTGATCAGTGAGAGTGACGTTTAGTAGGCCTTCACCTTTCATTCGCACAACATGATATTTTCATTCTCGTATGGACCACAGTGCTTAGTACTTGGGTATTTTCGAAGACGGGCTGAATAGAGGTCATTGTGCATCTGTAGCGTTGGAATCTAGGAAAGGGCCGACGTTGTTAGCAATAGGTAGCTGGAGGTTCATAATTGCTGAGGGTCGATTCGACGGCTGTCCTCGACTTCGACGAGTAAGTCAAAGTGATTAAGGAAGTCAGCACCAATGAGAGAGTGAGTCACGGTTGTGGTAATGAAAATCAAACGAAAGTGTTGTAGACGTCCAAGGTAGTGCGGAAGGACGTTTTGTCTGCACTGCGAAAACATGAACCATTTCTAGTTGAGAAGATCAAACTGTGGTTTAAGGCTCGTTTTTCGATAGGACCAGGGGGCATGACGAATAAGTCGGCTTCCACATTCCATCGATAATCGCTTGCACCATGTCGAATGACAATAAAAAGACACTGATTTGAGCGCCGTTGTTGGCATAATCTGCACACCAAAGTAATATTTTATGAGTGTGAAAGCGTCATTTCAACAAGCGGCATCGAGAGCTGTTTCACTGTGTACAGTGAGGATGTGGTTTCAACACTTGGCAATCGATAAATTCTACCCAAACACTTCTCCTTACACAGATTAAGGCTGACGAGAGTTGTCAAACGAAGTTTTCTACTATCATCAATCGACCTAGCTGACATTCTCATTGGCAATCACACCTACGTTGAATTTCACAAATTCGCTAAAATCGTTCACTTGGCAAGTGTATCATTTCAGCTCTGAGATAAAGCTACTTCCGTTTGCCTATACCGATTATCACTAGTAGTAACTGTGGCCAATCCACAAAAGTGCCTGTCAAGAACACAACACAAGTAGCTCAACTTCGTAGCGAGAAGTGGATTTCTCCAGAGCAGGGTGCATCTTGAGATGGGTCGCGTTAACAGAACAAGCAAAGTGTTATAAAAGCAGTGAAGGGAAACAATTGCCTTCACGAGGCTACTACAGCCACCATGACATGCTATCTGCAACTGGGCGGCATTTACAATACACGAATTGAAAATCCTCATTTCTAGTTATTTACAAAGTGTGCAGGCAGGAGCCGATCCCGGGGTACTGACTCCTCTCTCTCTCTCTCTGCAACTTCATTTGTCGCTTCTCGACAATCCGCAACAACGACTACCACGCACTCGCATAACTCATTTTTCTTCTTGTGTTCATTCAAAATAGACAAGCTACTAATATCGCTAAAGCGAGCATATAAATGTATGTTCCAAGAGAATGTTAAGCGCGTGGCTGCAATAGGCCTTTCGTTGACAATTCGGTCTCATTGCGTGGCAGTAGGAGTACCAACATGGCGACGCCCACAAGTCACTGCGTCGCCGTGCAACTCTTGCTTGGAAGTCAACAATGAATTTGGCTGGAATTAACTTGTTAAGATATTTGACAGAAAAGCCATTACCGAGCTCCAAGCAAGAAACTGACGTCGTTGTCGTTGGCATCGTATGGATGAAGATTACCACCAAAAAAACCACATGAATGTCACTGAGCTGTCAAACGCGATGTTAACTAACTTGGCTCCCATCGTGCACAATCTCGTCTCACATTCGTTCACATTATATTCTGCAAATCCACATCAACTGGCCAAAGAGCTGTCCACTTGATCATCTGCGGTGAAGGTGGATTCTAGGGAGTCCAGTAGAGAAATTTCGAAGAAGGCGCGATGACTGCATGTGTAGTCGTGAACACAGCCGCCAAGATGGTACGTGGCGACTAGCAAGCCTGCACAGTTAGCATTCGTGAGCGAACGCAGTGTGCAGGCGCGAGCGAACACAAATCAATCGATTTTTTTGTGAATGCACCGCTGTGGTGAGACAGCCAGCGCGCGCGTGAGAGATTTGTGTGCTTGCCCGACTCCATCAATGACTCATTCCCTTTGCTATTGGTTTTTTGTTAGCAGTCGCCTGTAACGCACGTGGACCGATACGTTACCCGATTTCACTCTACTCTACTTGAGTGGCGTGACGCCAATAAACGATCGTGTTCTCTTTCGACTCTTTGTCTTCTCTCTTCTCGCGTTGTGACCGGCTGTTATCTTCATGGATTTGTGGTAGTGCAAACTCGGCCCCCTTCAGGTATTTGCGATGACCTGAGCTTACAGTGATTCATCTCCCCACACAGAATACAAATCATTCAGTGCAATGCAAGCGCTGCATTGTAGGCCTGCCATGAGTTTGGTTCCAGCCCTTTTAATTCTGGTGGTTCACTTACTATATGCACAAACTACTCAACTTTGGTAAATCCATCCCCAAACAATAGAATTGTCACCACGGCAGCCACACCGAACAGTTCCGCATCATTATTAACGAGGACATCAAACAAGATGCATTTGACTTGACCAAAAATTAAGTCGGTGATGTCTGGGAGCACGGGATGTCTTACTGTGGGAAAAGCAGAATAGGTGTAACCAATTTTCCAAATCAAATTTACATTCGGCTTTATGCCATCACGTTTATTTTAATGTTCCTCTACATCTTTTGTCTGTGGTGGCTTGTCCTCTGTTTAACTTCTGATTTTCACATATAACCGATTGCGGTTCGACTAATTAACAACCAATAATGATGTTCGCAATTATTTCAATGTTTCAATGCAGTTAGACTCCATATTTGATGTAAACATTTGCATTTATCACAGTTTATATTTGTAACATTTGTAGTTGGTGGTTTGGAAAACACTTACCCGTTGTTAGAGCTACCGAATCGTCTTCCTATTCTTGCGAGGTTTTATACGCGCTTATATTTAACTGGCGGTGGTTACGTTGATCCTTGTCGACGTTAGGCTGCGAACACAGCAGTTTCCTGCACCCCGATGTATTGTCACATTCCGAACGCCTATCCCATGTTCGCCTCGATATTTCAAATGCAACTGGTATTTGGCATTCTGGCGAAGGTGTGTTGCTCGTGAATTCTAACCAACACTGCCTGCACATTGTCACGTTATTCCCGTGTGTTGATGAAAGCCCCTGAACCTACTGTTCATCTCTGTTGGGGATGCAGGATTCCCCCGGGATAGCTCATTTCCGATTTTTGGCAGTTTTTGCAGTAATTTCCTCTTATATCTCCTAATGCAATTTCTCTCAGGTCACGGTCACAGTTGGCTTGAAGTAGTGTACACAGTTGACAACTCACTCGCACGTGGCTGACGTGATTAGAGCTCTCAGCACGAGTTCTGGCCTTGTTCTTGTATTAGCGTGGAAAATTCGATTCTAGCGTCAACAAATAATCTGATACTGTTACACGGGGTGCTTTCTCTTTGTTACGGGCAAATGTGACAGTCTCGTCAAAGGCTTTTAGAATGTGAGATAGGACTGTAGCTTGTGCAAATGTTGTATTTTGTGAACCAAGATTCGAGTGCAAGAAGGATCTAAGAATGGAAGTGGAGGCGATGCGTTGATGTAATAACACTCAAAGATGATCTGATGGTGTGAGCGAACGATTGAATTGACAGCAGAGTGGTAATCAAGTGTACATGGCTATGTCGACAAACAAGTCATTGGGAATGCTGATATCCCCAACACACATTACGGGCGTACAAACCAAGTTAACTGATGTATCGCCTTACGTAGCCGTGACAAGTTGACACAATCCCAAATGTGCTGTGCTGCGACATGTGTTTGTGCGGACCATGATGCAAATCAGGATTGTCCAGTGTCAGTAATGCTAGGTGTTTGGCAAATTGCCGAAAATTGGTGAGGTCAACGGTTGTACTTAGGCGTTATATTAAATGATTTTGTGGATGGATTAGACATCAACAGTAAAAGTCAAGTTTATTGAAGCAAACCTGCGAGCGAAGTCAATGAACAGGCAAATTGAGACGGTGTTGAGTAGAGACAGTTCGCTCCCACCTGGTTACCGATCTAAAAATCATTTGCACAGAAATTGTAGTGATTTGCTGGGATACTCTGAAATCAAGCTGTTCAATTTCAGTACTGGAACCCAAGAACCACAACTGAAATGCGCATTATCTAGCCAAGTGTCAGGAGATTTTTCGCGTTAATGAAAGCCAACCTTACAAGTCTAAAATTCTCCAACAGCTCTCATGTTTCCTTGGAAACCAACCGCAGGTTTTGGCTGAATCGATCACTGAGAAATCACAGAGAGATCATTTGTCCAGAGATCCACCTTAACTGAACCCTCATCACTTTACGACTTGCTACCCAGTGCCTGTTACTACATCAGCAAGCCAGTCGAACTACGCATTATCTGCATCTCTTAACTCTTGTCGCATTTCTTTATTGGTGCATCGGGCAGTATTTCTCAACAGCAAATTGGCAACGGTGTACAAGGAATGAAATTCATGACCTGGGTAGATGCCTTCCACAACAAAACGTGATTGGTTATGCTTTTAATTCGGACAAAAATGACATGCTTCCTCAAAATGAATCTGTCGACACGTGAAATTTTAACACAAATGGGAAAGTCAGCTAGATGTGGGGATGATGGCGGTGCAGTTGGTCGGTCAGTTGTCCTCAGCCACATTCTCTTTAGAGAAAGTAGAGACTAAACAGACTTCAGTGGTTGCCACATGTACAAACCACATCTGTGAAGTAACTTGTGGAATGGCACTTGATGTTGCTTTTTGAGATGACATTTTCACTCTTGCAATATTCTAACTTGGGTGTCGTATTTCTAACAACGATTGTTCTGGCACCACTTCAACAACGATGAGCCAAGTATCAAATAGCACAAGCCGTAGTGTTTTTGCTTAACACCACCTCACGACCCTCTGCTTAGCAAGCCTCGTACACCTGATGAGAGCCTGAGGAGAGACAAGAGAGCGCCAGCAAGTGCGTCCGTGTGCGTGTGATGATGATTGAGCGCAAGTTCGGCATTGTCTGTCCTGGCGACTAAAAAATCATCAATACAGACAATCGACATGAACACCGTTTAAGAACAAGGAAAACTCGTGGATGCGAGGAATACGGTACTCGTCAGAAACTGTGGCATTATTCAGAGTTTTGTATTCGAGGGTTTGAATGTGGCTCCTTGGGTATTTGCAAACACACACGTATCAAGTCGCACATCCAAGATATCATCGCATAATGGGTTTGTAGGAGACATTTGGACTATAACTGGCGCAAAACGCAGTCATCGACACTGGTTGCTCCAGTCAGGTTTTGCGTGTGCTGAGGTAGTCGGGATGGTGATCAGTCACATAGTTCAACAACTAGATGTAGGTGTCGACGATAATCATCGCTGGAGCTGGTCGTTCTTGCAAGTTAACAATCCGTAAGAAGGAAACGAGAGAGGAGAGAAGTCAAGCAGGATGGCGACAGCGTCGCGCCATTCATGAATGTCTGTATGTCATCATGAGTGATTCGATGACTGACGACAGATAACAGTTATCAATGCAATGAGAGATCACGCAACAGACTTCACTCACGCGCGATCACTGAGTATCTGCGAAAAATTCTATTTGGTGTGAAGAGTGATTAGGCGCGAGTGTTAATTACCAAATCGAATTCATGCACCACACGAACGTCAGTTTGATTAGGTCACATGGTTACAACAGCCAGATGGATTAGGGGAAGCAGCTGGTGTGGTTTCACTGCTACCAGACACACGTCACAACACGGTTACATTTCACTGCAAGTCCAACAAATCCCCACGGTTTCCTTTCCACGGTCTATTTACAGGCATGTGGCAGGAATTGGAGAGCATCCTGTGGTGGATGCCCGGTGCCACAAACAGAGTTCACTCTCACTGGCTCAGTCTGAGTAAGCGAGATCGTGGTCGTCCAGAACTCGCATCTGCCAATCAGGTCAGAGGTAGGCGCCGCACTACCAATCATCACTCACTGGCTGTCGTGACTGTTAATTCGAGCTATATCATACTGCGTATTGCCTGTCCTGCATTAGAAAACGAAATATCGTCGAAGACAAACACGATGGCACGAGATGTTTCTGAATATAAAATGCCTATTTCGCTTCTAGCTCTACTAAGAGGCGAACGACCATACAGCTATACTGAGCTTGCTACATTGAAAATTCCCGTGCTCCCAGACGACACCAAATTGACACTGGACCAAGTCAAATGCATCTTAGTGGATGTCATCATCAACAATCATGCGGACGTCTTCAGAGCGGCCTCTGTGCTGACGGTGCCGTTGTTTGGTGATGAGTTCAGCAAAGTCGAGCCATTTGAGTACGTTGTCACAGAGCCACCAGAATTGCAGAAGGCTGGAACCAGACTCATGGAAGGACTAGAATGCAATGAGTGCATTGCATTGAATGACTTGTACTTTGAGTGGGGAGATGAACGAGTGCAAGCTCAGATCATCGCAAATACCGCTTTGTTGGCTGCGCTCACGAGCCCGTATGCAGTAACCGCGCCTTCGTTGAAATTTCCATCCTGGACTCCCCAGAACTGGCCAATGTCGAGGATCGTCAAGTGCAAACCTTTTGAGCCTGTTGACGGGGAATTGCTGAAATTGATGTGGAAGAAAATAAACCGAGATTATGTTTCGTGGAAACTGGGAGAGGTGGTTTCTCGTGTGATTGCCCAGAGATGTGTATGTTATTTCCAGAGACGTGATCTTCATCCACATGACGCTGTCAGGGACGAGGCCTTTTGTTGCATGAATATGGGAGTGTTCTTCGCGCAGTTCAGCGCTTACAGCACGTTGATGGATTTCTTGAATTCGAAGGGCAAAACGCTTTCGGACTTGCACGAGTTGCTTCCTGCTCCTTTTATTGCCGACTTTAAAGCAGCAGTTGAACGTCGACGCATTGATCTGGAAGCGTCGCCTTGCTGGTATCCCTACTGCCACGCACTGAAAATAGGTTTCGTTCGTGAATTTTCATTTCGCAATTGTCCAGATATTGCCTATTTTGGCATAGCTCTTAAGGCTCTGTGGAGGGATGTGAATGCTACCGTAGGAGATGTTCCTGGTGTTTACCTATCGGAAGAGGTCAAGAGGCAATTGTGCGAATACGCGAAAATTGTCGTTAGGGGATGGCAAGCTGCAGCACCTGTGCGTGCTGAGAGGCAATCCAGTGTTCAGGGTTCGATGTCTCCCTGGAGACGTTGCGTTTAACCGACAAGGCACGCACCCAATCCGTCCAAGTGGCACCCACCGTAGCGTCAGCTTTTCTCACTGTCACCGCCTCTTCAAACGGACCGTTGTCTCGATTTATGGTAAATCTATTCATATTACATTTTCACAATTGTTAGTTGTTCTGATCCTTGGAAGCAATTTGAAATGTACAAAACATTAAAATCGCTGTCGACTTTCCCGACATGATTTTCCGTGGTTGTGATTTGGAAGGGCCCTGGTTTAACAACGGAGACCGCGTCTTCACTTCAAGGCGTTAATTCCAACAAATTA